TATTTATTTATTGTTAGATTCTCACTCTGTCACCCAGGCTAGAGTACATGGTGTGATCTCGGCTCACTGCAACCGTGACCTCCTGGGTTCAAGCAATACTCGTGTGTCAGCCTCCCGAGTAGCTGGAATTACAGACACACACCACCACACCCACTTAATTTCTATATTTTTAGTAGAGACGGGGTTTTACCATGTTGGGAAGGCTGGTCTCGAACTCCTGACCTCAAGTGATCTGCCACCTTAGCCTCCCAAAGTGCTGGGATGATAAGCGTAAGCAACAATTTTTTTTTTTTTTTTTTTTGTGGTAGAGATGGGGTCTTGCTATTGCCCTGGCTGGTCTTGAACTCCTCCTGGCTTCAAGGAATCCTCCCACCTTGGACTCCCAAATTGCTGAAATTATAGGCATGAGCCACCGCACTCAGCCCACAAGTGAAAAAAAAAAAAAATTGAAATGTGGGTCTTAAAACAGCAATAGAAATATTTCAAAAATAAAATGTAAAAATGAGTTTCTCTAAGGGATGGATGCCAGTGTTTGATAAATGAAAATCTCAGTTACCCTATTTGTACACCTGGAAACATTAAACCTGAACTTCTGAGCTGGTTCTCATACTGTTAGGAACGGAAGTTAGAAGGGAGATAGTCTGTAACTTTACAGGCTCCTGGGATGAGTCGTTGCTAGCCCTCAACATTCAATGCTGAAGTACAATCAGCTTTTCTTCTTTGCTCTGGAGGGAGAGAGCAAAACAAATACTGCAACATTCCCACTGTCTAGAATAGGGGTTTTCAAATTTGCCTGTACACTAGAATCAACTGAAGAAGCTTTGAAAATTAATGCTTAGGTCACACCCAGGCCGATTCCACTGGAATTTCTGGGGGGTAGGTCCCAGGCACTGGTATTTTATAAAGTTTCCCAGGTAATTCCAATGTGTAGCTAAGGTTGAGATCCATAACTCCAGCAAAATATAAATTTTTTTTTTATTTTTTGAGACAGAGTCTCTCTCTGTTGCCCAGGCTGGAGTGCAGTGGCATGATTTCGGCTCACTGCAACCTCTGCCTCCTGCATTCAGGTTCAGATTCTCCTGCCTCAACCTCCCAAGTTACTGGGATTACAGGCGTGTGACACCACGCCTGGATAATTTTTTGTATTTTTAGTAGGGGGGGGGGGGGGGGGGGGGCGTTTCACTGTGTTAGCCAGGATGGTCTCGATCTCCTGACCTCGTGATCTGCCCACCTTGGCCTCCCAAGGTGCTGGGATTACAGGCATGAGCCATCGTGCCCAGCCAATAATTATTTTAACATCAGATTTATACCTGGCTCTTGGTTAGTTTCAGGATGTTTTAAAGGCTGCCAAAATGTCATTGTTTGCATATGTCACCATGATTCAGATAATTTATATAGATGACCACCTGTATCTCTTTTTATGAGGACAGAGTTAGTAAAAGTAAAAGGAGGCCAAATGCAAATGAATCCTGGTACAGAAGACAGCATTTGTAAAAAAAAAAAAAAAAAAACTGTCGAAATTGGAACCAGGTCTGTAGTTTAGTTAGTAATATAATACCAATGTTCATTTCTTAGTTTTGATTAAAGTAACACCATTTGCAAGATGTTGACATCTGTTGAAGTTGGGCGGAGGGTGTAAAGGAACTCTCTAATGATTGCAATTCTTCTTTAAGTCTATTTCAAAATTAAAGTTAAAAGATTAAAAAAAGAGAAAGCAGGCCTAGTATTAATGCTGCAGAACTGTTGATTGCTAACAATATTAAACATTCTTGGGCATAAGTTCTTATACTGTGACTTAGATGCTTTATTAATGAATACAACTTATGGGGTGAGAGAAGCTTAGAGAAGTTTCCAATTTCCTGTCTACATTCTGCTTTATATATATTTTCTCCAGTTTCATCTGGATCCCACAAAATGTCAAAAGCAGTTAATTCTGAAAACGTCTGACAATATATGGCCTAGAGTCACACATTCTACTATTTAGAAATTCTTTTTTTTTTTTTTGGAGACAGAGTCTCACTGTGTTGGACTGGAGTGGAGGCTGGAAGTGCAGTGGAACAATCTCAGCTCACTGCAACCTCTGCCTCCCAGGTTCAAGCGATTCTCCTGCCTCAGTCTCCCAAAGAGCTAGGATTACGGATGCATGCCACCACGCCTGACTGATTTTTGTATTTTTAGTAGAGATGGGGTTTCACCATGTTGGCCAGGCTGGTCTTGAACTCCTGACCTCAGGTGATCTTCTCGCCTCGGCCTCCCAAAGTGCTGGGATTACAGGTGTGAGCCACCGCGCCCAGCCCACTATTAGAAATTCTACTCTTAGTAATGATCATGCTGCTGGTAAGAGTATCGTGCACATATATGGCACTTTACAGTTTATAAGTGCTTTCCACGTGTTAGTCTTGTTTTATTTGCATTAGGAAATAGACAAGTACATGTGATACACCACAGGCTGTCACAAAGAATGGAACTACGATTGCATTTTACTATAAAACACACAGTGTAGCACCTGTATAAAGCAGACACACACACGCTCACAATACACATGTAGAATTAGAAAACACGATCATAAAACAATCTTGCTGTAGTGTCCCGTGATACAGAGCAAGGCTGGGGGAGGTAGTACTGTTAGGCTAGCGCTTACTACCTAGGAATCACCAAGCCAGAGCAGGTGACACCCAAGGGCACTATTTTGCAGGGGAAGTTTTTATTCTTCTTTCCTACCAGGTAATGGAGAAAAGTTCAGACAACCAAAGAGACACTCACAATGTCTGTTGGCCCTGGCATTGTCCCGCCAGGACTGACAGCCCCTGAGTCGTGGCCTCCCTACTGCCCAGCCTTGAAAGCGCTAGCTCTTCACCTCCTCTGGGCTCCTGACACCTGCCCTTTCCCCTGATGCACCAGGCACATCTGCCAGTTCTTTTCCAGAAATATTTTGCCAGCTCCAGCGATTTTCCAGTGACCTCCTGCTGGCTGGCTGCCACTCCTTCTATGGCCGGAGAGACCCTCCCACCTAGACTCTGGGGCAGGTGATCGAAGTGGCTGCACTTTCTCTGGATCATGCCAGAAGGATGGCTCACTCCTTTTCATCACTGCCCCCTACAGAGCCTCCACGAAGCCAGCTCCACTACTAGACAGGGCAAGATACTTTTATCCAGCCTGGCTTCTATGCACGCATGCATGCATGCACACATGCACATGCTTTCCTGGTCAGCACGGAGAGCCAGGAGAGCTGAGACCTGGAGTGTACTGGCTTAGCTGGATAGGGAAGCTGGACTTGGCTGTGTGCGGCCCCTGCTGTGATGTGTGGCTTTGGTGCTCTCAACCTTCCTGGGAGATGAATGACTTTCTACCTAGGTCCGATTCCTACCCATCAGCGCTGTTAGGGCAGTGATCCGAAATGTTCTGCAGACGCACATCATCTTCCCCTTCAGTCCAGGATCACGCGCTCATTTTTCAGTTCTTGTTTATTCAAAAGGAAAGCCTAATCGGGTCTCCTCTAGAGTTCATGGGATCTTTTAGTAAAAACTTACATGGGAAATGTGAACAATGGGGCTATGATTAATTGAAACTTAGGGTTTCCTTCTGATTAGTGAAAACAGTCTCAACAGCAATTTAAGTGGTTTACAGTGATTCTCAGGAGAAAGGGGAGAGAATAATCTACATTTGTAAAAGTAATTGTTCTACATGTGCATTTGTTGAAAAGCTTTTAAAAAATTGTAGTGCTGAGTCCTTCCCCTCACAGCCCTGAACTTTTCCCAGCTGGGCTTACTTGGCCCTGCCTGCGATTCCTCCTGCCCACTGACGGTCACTCCCACCTGCGTTCCAGTTCCCTGCAGGCTCCAGGACAAGGGGCCCACCTTGCTCCTCCCAGCTTTCTTGAGGATGATGTGGCTTTGCTCCTGCTGCCTGCTCTCTGAACACACCACAGTCTGAAATGTTCCTGATTGACAGGGTGACCAGATGGTCCAGCTTGCCCAAGACAGTCCCAATGACACCCCCTTTTGTTCAGTGTCTCAATTTGGATAATAAGTCATAGGACCACCCTGTCCACTTGCAGCTCGCCAAGGTCAAGTATAGCCACGTGCAGGGACATCTGGTCCCTCACTGGCCCATGTGGATGCCCACCTGTTCTTGCTTCAATGGCACCACCTGATTCCCGGGGCCTGGGCTCCCCTGTACTGTCTTGCCCGGCCACTAACCTAACACTGATCTATTAGTAGTTTAGGAAATCATCTCTGTAATTCTGAAGATCTGGAAGAGAGAGAGTGAGAGAGAGAGAGAGTGTGTGAGTGTGTGTGTGTGTGTGACTGTGTGTGCACAGAGGAAAGAGAATTATGAACTATTTTCTTAGAATACCTCATTTTTATCTAGAAATCTATACAGGTATTCACCATACTCTTTTGATAACAGTACACGAAAAAGAAAATGGAAATTTTAGGAAGGATTTTCCTTACTCTTATTACAAAACACCACTTTATAGAGCCAAACTGAAAAGACCCTTGAAAGCAAATATTCTTCTCATCAGATAAATGATCTGAATTTTTAATTTTCATAGTTGCTCTATTTCAGTTTAGACACTGAAACTGCACAGCTTATTTTCATTTTGAATTTATCATCAAATTCACTTCCTGTTATTGTTATCCCAACAGTACAGAGCAATGTTTCATTTCCAGAAGTTTTCATTTAACTTAAACAAAAAGCAAACCCACATAGATCCACTTAAAAAAATAAACATTTCAGTCTGAACACAAACCTGCTTGATTAGAAGAACCAGTTTACCTAATAATTTTATAATATTAGCATCACCCTAATTATATCCTTTGGCTATACCAGGCATGACCACAAGGCCTTTGAAATTCGGATGATGAACGTGGACTGACCCCAGACCATGGGACCCAAGTGGCCTGCAGCTGATTCCGCCACTGACAGCTGGAGTGGAGCAGTTTCGGGTTCTGCACTGACTTCCCCTTCGGGCTGTGGGGGCTCAAGGCAGTACTTACGTTTCATCTGTGAATGCTATTCCAAAGTACTCCTTTTCCTTCAGATTGAAGTGAGAAGCCACAAGGTCAAGAAGCTCCTTGGCCAACAGCTTGGGCTGCAAGGAGAATACAATGGAATAAGGGTAAATGATGAGAAACTGCTTTTCCTAAAATATGCAATCTCAGGTTTCCATAATTTTTTCAATGAAATGTCACAAAGCTCAAGTATTTTGAAGCAAATGATTTTTATAAACCCAAACAAATAGACAATGACACTGATGAGCACACAGCCAAGTCAAGGGTTATCAACAGATAGAGATCTTCTGTTTTATTATTTCCTAGAAGGTTTTTATATAAATATATATATATATATTTAT